GAGGTTACCAGTCCAGTCCTTATGCATATGTACTAATGAAGGAGCCCTGGTGGCATAGTGGTTTTGTGTTGCACTGCTAACCAAAAGATCAACAGTTCAAACCCACTAGTTGCTCCATGAGAGAAAGGAAGCTGTCTGCTCTGGGAAACCCAAAGGAATGGTTCTACTCTAGCATCAGGGTTGTGAGTCGCAATTGACTTAATGGCAGTGCAGTTTGGTTTGGATTATAGATTAATGGGTCCCCATGTAAATTGAACTTTTGTAACGCAAATGTTTTCTTATTAACTTAAGTTAAAATTTCAGTAATGTTTCACCCTCATTTCTGATCAATTTTCAGTTGACAGTTATTCATAATCAATTTTAACTTCCTATGTTCCCAGGTTCTTAAGTTAATGATCTATTCAGGAATTTTTAAATAGCGCTGGGGACCCCATGGTATGAGTCATTTTGTAAAACAAAGAGTCTTTTTTTGGAATTGGAAGACTCTTTTGCATTTTGATTAATCACCCCTAATATATCAGTCAAGAAGAAAGATGTGGTAGTCTGTTTCTGTAAAGATTACAGCCTTAGAAACCTGATTGGACAGTCCTACTATGTCACAGAGGGTCGCTATGAGTCAGTGAATTAATGTATCAGTTTTAAAGGTTCAGATTTCTATATAAGCCTGGTTTTTTGAAACTGAGCATGTTTGTATTTATTTCCCCATTCATAAATTATTATTACAAAAATCATAATAGCATAAACTGCTTAATTTTTTTTTAAATATGTAGCTTGTATGTCTTAAATCAACATAATGTAAAGATTAAAAAGAAAAATTTTAAGAAAGTCCACTTAGAAAGCAGTTCAAAAGGACTAATGATGAAAGAATGGGAAATCCTCTTCCAGTCCTTCTCATTAACAAGTTACTCACCAAAAGCATGAACTCTTTACAAAGAACCAGACAGGAGGAAGCAGGTATTAAGAGGCAGCATTTGAGGACTGCAGGGGCTGGGGAGGGAAAGTCAGTTTGGAGATGGTTTTTCAGCTCTCTGGTGGAAGATGACTCTGCTCTTCAAAGCATCACAGCTTCCTGTGTGACTTGGACTGTTTATTTTGGAGACATTCATTTCGTAATGATGCCATTCTCATCTGAAGTCCAAGTCTGCCCTTGAGAAATTAGGAAACTTTCCCCTTCTTGAAGGCCCTGAGTGGTGCAAACAGCATACTTGGCTGCAAACCAAAAGCTCGGTGGTTGGAGTCCATCTAGAGGCACTGCAGAAGAAAGTCCTGGCAATATTCATTGAAAAAATCAGCCATTGAAAACTCTACGAAGCACAGTAGTAGCCTGCCATGTATGGAGTTGCCAAGAACTGAAATCAACTTGATGGCAATTGATCTGGTTCTTCCTGTTAAAGGGACCTCATTCATTCAACAAAATACCTGACCCAAGACATGGTATTTTCAGTAACCTCATATGCATGCGAAAGCTGGACAGTGAATAAGGAAGACCGTAGAAGAATTGATGCTTTTGAGTTATGGTGTTGGAGGAGGATATTGAAAGTGCCATGGGCTGCCAAAAGAACAAAGAAATCTGTGTTGGAAGAAGTGCAGCCCAGAGTGAGTATTCCTTGGAGGCCAGGATGGCCAAACTTCATCTCTCATACTTCGGCCATATTGTCAGGAGGGACCAGTTGCTGGAGAAGGATATCATGTTTGGTAAGGTGGAGGGTCAGAGAAAAAGAGGAAGACCCCCTGCGAGATGGATTGACAAAGTGGCAGCATCAATGGGCTCAGGCGTGGCAACAATTAGGAGGTTGGCCCAGGACCGGGCAGTGTTTTGTTCTGTTGTGCACAGGGTTGCTATGAGTCGGTACCGACTCGATGGCACCTAACAACAACAACAACAACATTCATTCAACAAATATTTATGAGGGTTGCTTGTGACCCAGGTCCTTTTTTATGCACTTGAGATTCATCAGTAAACAAACCAAAGTCCCTGCCTCCTGGAGCTGACATTTTATCAGAGGAGACAGACTACAAATAACATAATACATAAGTAAGTTAAACAGTGTATTCTGCATTATGTATGGAAGCATTATTGGGAGGAAACAACAGAGTAGGAGTCTGAATCCAGGGCTGCAGATGGACTGTGTTTTAAACAGAGAGGTCAGGGTGACATTTGAGCAGAGACTGGAAGGAGGTCAGGAATAAGTCACAGGGCATTCTGCAGGAACAGTATTCTAAGCAGAGGGAACAGTCAGCACAAAGGCCCGGAGTCGCTGATTTTGTTGAAGCTGTGGCTCTCACAGCTTTGCACGCATACCAACCCTCACTGGAGAGTGTCTAGAAGCAATTTAATGTCTCATGACTAGGCTGTAGGGTGTTAATGACCAAGGATGCTGCCAAACATCCTACAATACAAAGGAAAGCCCCTGCAACAAAGAATCATCTAGCCCAAAACGTCAATAATGCCAAGGTTGAAAAGTCCTGCATTTGAGGATTTTCAAGGAGGCTACAGTAGCTGGAAATGAACTCTGGTAGCATAGTGGTTACGAATTGGGCTGCTAACCTCAAGGTCAGCAGTTCGAAACTACCAGCCATTCCACGGGAGAAAGATGAGGCTTTCTGCTCCCATAAAGATTTTCAGCCTTGGAAACCCTGTGCAGGGTCACTATGAGTTGGAACCGACTCCACGGTACTTATCAACTACATCGAGGGTAGGTGGAAGGGAGGGAGTGTGGAGAAGAGAAGCAGGAGCCTAGATCAGCAGTAAGGAGGCTGGGGAGTAGAGGGTGGCTAGGTCAGATGGGTCTTTTGACAGCATGGAGTTTGATTTTTATTCTAAGAGAAATGGAGAACTATTGGAGGCAGAAGAGGAACATGATGTGATTTAACATTTTATGAGGGATTTTGGTGCCAGGTAGGAAAGAGACTGAAGGAGGCAAAGGCAGAAGGAGAGGGACCCTTTGTGGGGAGGTGGGGGGGCTGTTACAGTTGTCCAGATAAGAGACGATGAGGGCTTCGGCAAGGGCAGAAGCTGCTTCACTTCTGCTTTGGTACACATAGGGTCACCATGAGTCGGAACTAACTGAAGGCAACTGGTTACTATTAATGACAGCATCTCATTTCCATTCATTACCACGATACATTTAAATATCAGAGTGTTTTTCTCAAGCCATGCTATTCCAAGGAGGTGGTACATTAATCTCTTTGTTAGTGAAAAGTAGGCTTTAAAAGGCAGTTGATTTATTATCCCAAAATGGTTTTCTGTCCACCCCGTGGTACAGAGGTCTGAGGCAGGACGATAAATGTCATGGAACTCCATGTCCAGACTAAGGTAGGATATTGAAATAACATATCAAACAAATTCATGGCCATCGAATCGGTTCCAACTCCTAGTGACAGGGCAGAGGAGGAATGTTATTGTTGTTAAGGGCCGTCAAGTCAATTCCGACCCATAGCGACCCTGTATAAGGTTTCCAAGGAGCAGCTGGTGAGCTTGAACCACTGACCTTGCAGTTCAAATGACTTTGCTTTCTGATGCATTAGCCCACAGCGCCACACCAGGACTCCAGAGTAGTAACATCCCTTAGTAATTCCAAGGCTGTAAATCTAAACGGAAGCAGACAGCCTCATCTTTCTCCTAAGCAGCTGACTTTGAACCCCCAACCTTGTGGTTAGAATCCCTGGTGTCTAACTCACCGTTCCAGCTGGGTTTTCACTGATCCAAGATCATCTTTTTTCACTTGTAGGAACATAATCTTTTTTGACCGCCCCGTGACAGTGTTTCTTAATATTTGATCCATGGACCACCTACATCGAATTCCTCAGGGGCTTATTAAAAATACAGATTCCCCAGCCTCCTTCCTCAACCATGTGACTCAGGATATCTGGAGTAGAGCCAAGAATCTACACTTCAGTGAGCTCTCCAAGCATTCTTTTGAAGAGCCACTACTGAAGGTTATGTTACTAAGCAGGAACAATGGATTTAGGGGAACAACCTGCTCACAGCAACATCTCTTTCCAGTTGCCATCGAGCCAACCCCGACTCATGGTGATCCCATGTGCGTCAGACTAGAACTGTGCTTCATAAGGGTTTTAATGACTGATATTTTTCAAAATAGATTGCCAGTCCTTTCTTCTGAGGTGCCTCTGCGTAGACTTCAATCTTTCAATTAGCAGTCAAGCACATTAACCATTTGCACACCATTCAGGGTCTCCCAACATCGTTGTAGGCTTGTTAGAAAATGGCAGATGTTATTTGGTGTATGTTTTGCTATGTGTGTTCTCAGCACTAACAAAATTAAAATTGGTGGGGGGGAGTGGGGAGGGAATGGCAGATATTATTTTATTTAGCATCTGGCTCTCTCCCAACCCCATAGCACCTTCATTTAGAATCAAAGCCTCTTTTCAAAATTATAATCCTTTACAGGGGCAAAGTACCCAGTAAGTAAGGAAAGCACAGGCTTACCTGTGCTGAGTTATTCATCTGCAGTGTAGCGTTTCATATGAGGTTCACTGTTGTTGTTGTTATGTGCCGTGGAGTCTGTTCTGACTCATAGCGACCCTGTACAGGGTTTCCGAGGCTGTAAATCTTTACGGGAGCAGAAAGCTTCATCTTTCTCCCAAGGAACAGCTGGTAGACTGCAGACATTGAGGTTCACAGCCCGATTCGTAACCACTATGCTACCAGAGCTCCTTGCAGACTAGTAAATAAGCACAAGTCAGCCCTGATTTAGGCAGATATTATTTTCAGTAAAAAATATATACTTCGAAGAATTTGTTTCCTACCGGCAACTATCATTTTCGTCTCCTCTTTCATTGAAATAATCTTTTGCAAAGGGTGCATTTTAGCTTCTCTTCTTGGTTTGGGGGTTACAGTGGTCACTTAACTCAGCTGGCTGGTATTTTGCTATGGGTCCAATTCTGGCTGACTGTAGGGGACACTTTGATCTAGAAACTGCTTGAAATGATCATTGTTAAGGTCTCATGCAACGTTTTCTTTTTTTCTTGTTGAACAGCAAATATGCCAGAGGATTATCCTGATCAGTTTGATGATGTCATGGATTTTATTCAAGCTACCATTAAAAGACTGAAAAGGTCACCAGATAAACAAATGGCAGTGTTTCCTCGAAGAGAGCGGAATCGGCAAGCTGCAGCTGCCAACCCAGAAAATTCCAGAGGGAAAGGCCGGAGGGGCCAGAGGGGCAGAAATCGGGGTTGTGTCTTAACTGCAATACATTTAAATGTCACTGACTTGGACTTGGGCTATGAAACCAAGGAGGAACTGATTTTTAGGTACTGCAGTGGCTCTTGCGATGCGTCTGAGAATATGTACGACAAAATACTAAAAAACTTATCCAAAAGTAGAAGGCTGGTGAGTGACAAAGTGGGACAGGCGTGTTGCCGACCCATCGCCTTCGATGATGACCTGTCCTTTTTAGATGATAACCTAGTTTACCATATTCTAAGAAAGCATTCCGCTAAAAGATGTGGATGTATCTGACTCCGGCTCCAGAGACTGCTGTGTATTGCATTCCTGCTACAGTACAAAGTAAGGGACCAAGGTTCCCAGGAATTGTTTGCCCAGAATGGAAGATGAGGACCAAGTAGGAGAAAGCGGAGGCTAGGCTGAGAAGCAGGAGAAAGGCAGCCATCGTGGGAGCCTGGTAGAAGGTGATCCAGAAAGCTGGACAGGAGAGAGAGAAAGTGACCATCTGGTTTGTCCAGGACAGTGGCCGATGTCATTGAAAGCTCAGGGCTGGTGTCCCTGTTTGGGTGTTGCCATCGTTTCCTCTGATACAGTCCACCATCACGGATGCACTTGAAGAACCAAACCTACGTGTCTCCCCTGGTTTGTTTTTACATGTTTGAAGACACCAAGGAAATAGGAATCCAGGGGTGAACTCACTTGGAATGACATGTTACTGCTGCAAGTCAGAAGTTAGGGTTCTTTTCTGCCACTCAGTTGAGACAGCGTACCCCAAAAAGAAAACAGCAAAAGGCAAAGACATGAGATAAATAACCTTGGAATTTGAGAGTTGAGGCCTAAGGTTTACGACAACCAGCGTTTTTGTGAACAGTTGGCGCTTGATTCGGAACATGGTGTGTGGGGTGGGAAGAAATTGGATAGGCACCAAAGAGGCTGTCCTCATGACTAAAACAAACCTGAAGGAATTTCCTTTCTCTCCTTGGAAACAGGAAACAAGTTGTGGCTTTCGGCTGCATTCTTGTAGGAGAGTAAGTGGGGAGGGCCCCCACTGCACGCGGACAGGGAGCCCCACATGGCCTGTCGGTTTACAGAGAGACAGATGTTACATACACCCCAGCTCCATTTATGCATGGTCACTAGTGACCAGAGAAGCTACTCGATGCAATGCATCTGTTTCAGATACAGAAATATAGAGAAGCTATTTATTGAGATTTAAGTTATTATTATTTATTACTATTCACTAATGAATTTCTCTTTTTTCCCTTATTTATTAAAGTTTCTTTTCAAAGGTGCCAAAGTATATGTGCTCGCAAAACACAGAGAAAGGTGACAAAGGAAATTTTAATTGAGAACAAGGGTCCATGCTTTTCAAAGTATTATAAAGAAAAAAAAAAAGTCTTTTTACTAGCCAAAAATCACTTACTTTACCTTTTTAAAAGACCTGGTAAATTTCCCCAGATTTCAGCATTCTCCATTTTTTTTATTTAAAAAAACAAACCCACTATGTCAGAAGGAGTGTCTTGATCAGGCCACCTTTATGGGGGCTATGTGCAGTGACCATTGGCACTTGGCTTTATCTCTTCATTGCTCCATCACTGAACAAATTAAGCCATAAACTCCACTTTCTGTCGTATTTAAGTTTGTATTCCCCTCCTCATGTATCTGTCTATCGTATGCATAACCATATATGTAAAAGGTTCAATTCCTTTTAGTAGGTAGTTCTGGATTTCATGTTGACCCAGAAGTAAACTCAAACAATCTGTCAGGTAGCTATGGTTTTGTCTGACTTGCTGAGAGTCTTCCTGGAGCCCTGCCTCACCCACTGCCTTCCTGAGACCAAGATGGTCTTTCATAAGTGAGGTCTGCCTGGTTCCCATAAAAGCCACTTAACTGTTGTTTTGGCTCAATAGTTGTTGCTCTTGTATACCCGATTCCTGGAATAAGGTGTCTGAGCAAGGCGGGCAGATGAGGAAGATATCCAACCTGGCCATGGTATATATACACACACAAACACACACACATGCAAAGCCTCACATTCACCCATAGAGGCCGTTTCTTTGACAACCAAAGAGTTTGGAGGGGAGGAAGCATAGGATCGGAACAACCTCTTTATAAGTGCCCCAAACTGTGGATTTGTCTGGCAGCCAACAAAATGTAATGCACTGGGCCCTACTTTAGAGCTTTTTATCAGTTTCATAAAAGAGATTTTTTTTTTTATCATGGATATAATCTATCACTATCTTAGTGGTCATTAACTACAAAGGTGTGACAGATTTAATGATTAAATGACCTTCTGGCTATCTACAAGTAATCATGTTCTTTTTACAAAGTAATGAAATAGCAGCCGTCACCAGACATCCCTATCCCTGCCTCCTGAAAACTAAGTTCTCCATCATTCTGCCATCTCTGTCCTTTCTGCTCCATTTGCATGACTCCAAAATAGAGGAAATGGGCCTCCCTCTCACCTCTCCTGGGGCCAAAGCGGGGACTTTGCTGAGAAGCAACCTGCTTACAGCAGGGCAAACCCAGCTGTCTGGTCATTCTTAAGGCACATTTGGGATGTAGCCCCAAGTCATCTGTCTGACTCATAACAATGGCAGGTTTGATGGCAAGGTTCCCAGGTTTCAGCCCTCAGCTCCCCAAGGAGGGTCCCTGCCCACAAACACTATAGGATTCCAAAGGGTGTTGACAACTTGATCCCAGCATCATCTACACACCATAAGCAGGGATTGACTTAAGTAAATTGTTCCATCAAATCCACAAAAGGGTAAAGTTAGTGATTTTTTTCTTTATCATTGCTCTACCATCTGATACAGTTCTGACTTCTCTGATCTGTCTTGGTCGTTTGTGTTATACAACCAAAGTTCTCTACAGACTTTATTTTTGTACAATATCATTTTTGTAACTTTTTACGAATAAAAACTCATTTCTACTGCTCTCTGTATTTCTGTGCCGCCTCATGTGCCTGTGGACCACAGCTGGGCCAGGCACCCTATCCAAAAGCACACCATTCCTCATTTATCAACATGATTAGATTCCAAAGACTGGGTCAGTAGGTGAAAATGAGCATTATGTAAAAATGGAAGATAATGATATCAGATCACAAAATGGAAGAACTGCTAAATCACTGAGAATCGTGACCTAGCCCAGTTGACACATAACCTTAACCATCACAGCCTTGTCAATCTTGCCTTGCGGTTCATCATTCATTACTGCCAGGCATACATTGTTGTTGTTGTTGTTGTTAGGTGCCATCCAGTCAGTACTGACTGATAGTGACCCTACACACAACAGAAGGAAACACTGCCCGGTCCTGGACCAATCTCACAATCATTGCTATGCCTTGGCTTATCGCTGCCACCACTGTGCCAACCCATCTTGTTGGGGGTCTTCCTCTTTCTCTGACCCTCCAGTTTATCAAACATGATGTTCTTTTACAGTGATTGGTCCCTCCTGTTAATATGTCTGAAATATGAGAGATGAAGTTTGGACATCCTGGTTCCCAAGGAGCACTCTGGCTGTACTTCTTCCAACATAGATATGTTGGTTCTTTTGGCAGTCCATGGTATTTTTAATATTCTTCTCAGGTACTTATAATATTCTTCTCCAACACCATAACTCAAATGCATCAATTCTTCTACGGTCTTCCTAATTCACTGTCCAACTTTCATATGCATATGAGGTTATTGAAAATACCATGTCTTGGGTCAGGCACACCTTAGTCTTCAAACTGAGATCTTTGCTCTTGCACTTCAAAGAGGTCTGTGCAGCAGATTTGCCTAATGCAATACATCATTTGATTTCTTGACTGCTGCTTCCATGAGTGTTGATGGTTGAGCCGAGTATAATGAAATCTTCCGTAACTTCAATTTTTTCTCCATTTAAATGGATGTTATTTATTGATCCAGTGGTGAGGATTTTTGTTTTCTTTACATTGAAATGCAATCCATACCAAAGGCTGTGGTCTTTGATCTTCTTCAGTAATAATTTTAAATCCTTTTCACTTTCAGCAAGCAAGGTTTGTATCATCTGCATATGGCAGGTTATTAACGAGTCTTCCATGAGGCATACATTGCTAATATGCTAAATAGTTGGAGAGCAGATTTTTCACTCTTGTATGTATGCAATGTTGGGTTAAAGGCAGTTAATAAGTGAGGAGTTGGTGCATTTCTTTTTATCTGGATCTTGGGTCAGAGGGCCATCCACTTCACCTCCACCTAGTCCACTGGTTGGTCATTGCCTTGCCTATAAACTCCCCACAATCAATCACCACCCAAGTAAGAAAAGATTAAGTTTTTCTTCATTTATTCGAAGTACTTATGATGTGTGTACTCTGTGCCAGGCACTGTTCAAGATTCTGGAGATCCAGCAGTGGCCAAACAAAAAGTTTGGTCTTCCTGGAGTTGATCATTTATATAAGGGTGACAAAGAATATTCAAAGGAGAAAAATATATAGTGTTTCAGGTGACGCAAAATGCTATAAAGAACATAAATGATGCTATTGTAGAAAATAATGGGGGAGGGCTGCTTTAACTAGAGGTGACATGTAGTCTGAACTTAAAGACTAGATGTAACCAGTTGACATTGAATTGATTTCAACTAGTGGCAACTTCATATGTCAGCATACAACTGCACTCCATGGGTTTTTCTAGATCACCAGGCCGTTCTTGCAAGTTGACTCTGAGTGGACTTGAACTGCCAACCTTTTGGTTAGCAGCCAAGCATGTTACCTACTGCACCACCCAGAGACTCCTAAAGATTAAAAGGTACTAGTCAAATAAGAGATACCTGGCAAAGGAAGCATTTGTACAAAGCTCTGGGGTAGGCAAGAACTTGGCGAGAACTATTGCTTTGCACAACACTTGGTGACCAAGAAGAATCCCTGTGATTGTTCAAATGGGACCATGAGCGTGGTGTATTCTGGTGGCAAGAAACACACGCTTAAGGGAGGAACTGTGAGTGCCTTAGGTTGGGGGAGGAGAACATGTTTCCTCAGATGACACACTCCCTGTGTTATGTCACAAGCAGCCTTGTGACTAATTCCTCAGTGTGTATTAAAGCCCAAAACAAAACTCTGGAGCTCTTATTACTCTTCTAAGTGGCCACCAGCCTGTGGACATTGCGCAGTGCAGGCTTTACCTGAAATGCCCTTCCCATCTCAGTGTACGCCATCTCTGAAGTTGAGACGTGACGCAGTTTCTGGTACCAACTTGTGGGCTCAGGTGTTTAGAGTCCTGCTTGGACGGTGGCAAATCTATTTTCTCTTAACCAAGATTCTGGTACAGAGGAAGTGA